AATAAAATTAAATTAAAAAAAATTTTTTAAATGTGGGAAATGGCTGACCTAGAATAGAATATTATATAGCCATTTAAAATAATGTTAGGTGAAATTATTAATAATCTGGGAAAGGATTCTGTTAGGTGAAAAAATCAAATGCAGTTGTATGTCATTACATGCAATATGATCACAACTTTCTCAAAAACATGAAAACAATGGATTATTATTCTGCCTTAAAAAGAAATGAAATCCTGATACCTGCCACAACATGAATGAATCTTAAAGACATTATAAATGAAATGAAATGAGCCAGTAACAAAATAGTGTATAATTATACTCATGTGACATATCTAGAGTAATCAAATTCATAGATACAGAAAGTAGAATGGTAGTTGCCAGGGGCTGAAGGAATGGGGGAGAAGGGGTAGTTGGTGTTCAATGAGTATAGACTTTTAGTTTGAGAATTTGAAAAAAAAGTCTAAGAGATGGATGATGGTGATAGTCGCAGAATAATATGAATGTACTAGTGCCACAGAACTAAAAATGGTTTAAATGATAAATTGTATTTTATGTATATTTTACCACAAAAAAAAAAGATGTACCAAGTTTCTCCATGACCTTTAACTAGTTTCTGCTACTGTGAATGTCCTACAAAACCGTAGTACAATGATAAAAACTAAAGAAAGAACATTAGTACAATACTGTTAACCACACTAGACTTATTTATATCTTACCAGTAGTGCCACTAATGTTGTATTTTTCTGTTTCAAGATTTAGATCATTAAACCTTTTTATAACAAAAAACTAAATCTTTTATAAAAGAACTTACTATATGGTTTCTTTAAACTATAGCCCCTATTATTATATTTTAAATATCTTCAAATTTACCCAAAAAAAAAGTTCAGGAATTTATCTGTTGTAGAAAACAAGTATGTCTTCTTTTGTACAGAATTAGGGTTGATAGCTGAGTAAAGGCAGCTGGCTTGGAGGACCATATCAGTTAAAATTAGGTTATAACTAGAATTCAAATAAAAAACAAAACTGGATTAAACAATATGGTTGTTTATTTCTCTGTTATATAGAAGTCCATAGATGGGTGGTCCAGAGATAATATGGGAACTTCATGGTATCAGGATGTCCAGCCTCTTTTAACTTGTTGTTCTGCATGTATGGCTTCCATTCCCACGATTATGATCCATGATAGCTGCTGGAACTCCAACCATTACATCCACATTCTAGGCAGTAAGAAAGAGGACAGAGGGCAGAAATATTTCCTCCTCACATTAAGAACAATATCCAAAAGTTGTTTATCCATTTATATTCCATTGGCCAGAACTGAATCAGGTGGCCACATAAAACCATAAGGGAGGTTGGGGGTTATAATATGTATTCTGGGGTGGTATGCCCTCTCCAAAAGAAATTGAGAGCTCAATTACTAAGGAAGGTAGATGATGTAGAAAAAGATTTTGGAGGATAGGTAGTAATCTCTGCAACAGGAAGCATCTTCATTCAGCATGTAGGCATAAACTAGGATCCGGAGAAAACAGGGAGCAAAAAATAATTATCAACCTTGATCATTGGCAAACATGTGTTTTCATTAAAGAGGAGAAGTTAAGGCAAAATATGCTACTGTCTCTAATCTGGTGGGTAGGGATGTCCTTGGAGCCCATAGGAACTGGTGAATTGGAGTCAATGAAATCCCCCTTTCAGCCTCTTCAACAAGGAGAAAGTTCAGCTTGCACACCCAACGCAGGACCTTTATTTCAGAAATCTTCCTTTCACCAACCCTCCACCACACTCAACTGGACCTCACCGTTTGGGCCCTCCCCACCTCATAGGTCCTTTGGAGGAAAAAAATAGTCCCTCTTTACAAAAAGGTTGGAGCAGGTCCGGTTTCAAGAAATCAGATTTTCTAAAATAATTTGAGTTCCCCAAGAAAACAAAATACAAAAGGACCATTAAATGTGTTATAACTATTAAAAGAGGTAGGCAGATGTTCGTTCTCTTTATCTGTATGAAGAATTTCTCTTCCTGACATTGAGTCATGTTCACTTTTCCCAAGAGGGAATAAAATGTTCCCTATAAAAGCACAACCTTTTCTTTCCTAGGGCTCTGGACCCATGCCAACATAACAGAAACAGCCAAATAAAGGGCTGTGATAAGCTCCTCAGGTGCCAGGGAAATGTTATCAGAGGAAATCATCTTCCTCCCTGTGACAAGACATGGATCCTCAACATACTCACAAAAAAAATTGGGGCCCCCAAGGAATAGAAATTCATCAAATACTCAGTGGGGAATTGTGCACAAAACAGCAATGGAAACCAGTGGGAACACAATTTTATTAACTCCAAAAAGTTGTACCAATTGGGTTCTTAGGAATAGTCCCCAGACTAATATGCCTGGAGACAAAGGACTTTTAGTGACAAATTTGATAAAATGTGTGAGAAATACTGTCTTTCTTTGTTTAAGATTCCAATGTTAAATTTGGAGGAATGTTTTAGTCTGTAAAATACAGTCTTTATATCATTGATTGTGCCACAGCAGGGAATTGTGTATAGTAGGGACAGAAAATTAATGCATTTGGATGCAAAAAATTTAGAAATGCAACCTGTTTTATTTTGTTTATAACTAAATAAGTCTTTGCTACCTGCTGGATGGCAGGAAAGAAAAACATATGTCTAATCTGGTTGAAGTAGTGCTTAGTTTCTCTCCAAGAAAGAAAGTTCAGGCTCAGATTTTTTAGTCCTTTTCAGTCCTTTGCTTTCATTCAAGATGGCATCCAAGGATGGAGCAAAGAGGTGTGGCTTGAGTTACCAGGTGGGGATAAGCTCAGGTGGTTAGGTGTAGTGTACTTTGGTGTGTCTGATCTCTAAGGCAGCATCTTTTGTCCACCAGCTTACTGCCTGCCCTGTTGGTTTGTGTGGCTGAAGTTTGTGGCTACTGTAATTCTAGGTCTGTGCTTTTGACTGAAGAACTGCTCCCAGAAACAGTTTTGCACTGTTGGGGATGTAAATTGGCACAGCCACTATGGAAAACAGTATGGAGAGCACTCAAAAAAATAACAATCAAACTAATATATAATCCATAAATCCTTATTCTGGGTATATATCCAAAGGAAATGAAAATAAGATAAAAAGATATCTGCACTCCTGTGTTCACTGCAGCATTATTCACAATAGCCAAGGTATGGTGACAACCTACCTGTCCATCAATGGATGAATGGATAAATATACACACAATGGAGTATTACTCAGCCACGAGAAAGAAGGAAATCCTGTCTTTGCAACAACATGGATGGATTTTGAGGGCATTATGCTAAATGAAATAAGTCAGAGAAAGACAAATACTGTATGATCTCACTTATATGTAAAAGTTGAACTCCTAGGGTGCCTGGGTGGCTCAGATGGTTGAGCGTCTGCCTTCGGCTCAGGTCATGATCCCAGGGTCCTGGGATCGAGTCCCACATCAGGCTCCCGGCTCGGCGGGGAGCCTGCTTCTCCCTCTGACCCTCTCCCCTCTCATGCTGTTTCTCTCTCGCTCGCTCTCTAAAAAATAAAAAAAATAAAAAAAAAAAAAGTTGAACTCCTAGAAACAGAGTAAGAAATTGGTTGCCAGAGGCTAGGGGTAGGAGAAATTGGGAGATGCTGGTCAAAGGGTACAAACTTCAGTTATAAAGTGAGTTAATTCTGGAGATCTAATGTACAGCATGGTGATTATAGTTAATATTACCATGTTATATACTAGAAAGTTGCTAAGAGAATAGATTTTATATGTTCTCACCACAAAAAAGAAATGGTAATTATGTGAGGTAATGGAAGTGTTAGCTAACACTATGGTGGTAATCATTTTGTAATATATAGGTTATATACCTTAAACTTACACAGTGTTTTATATCAATTATATCTCAGTAAAGCTGGAAAAATATAAAAAAGAACTGTTCCCAGCTTTCCAATAGAAATTTTCACACTGTGACCTAGAAATGAATAGATCTACATTCTAGCTTAGGTTTCCTGAGTCAGTTTCCTATAAAGCAAGAGTATCAGCCTAAGAACCACTCCTCACAAGGGAATATAAATATTTTGACAACAATTCATTCATCTCTTGGCTCCATAAATATCTCCTGCCTGGAGGATTTATTCAAGAATAAAAATGGTGGCTGTTGAATTTTTCTACTCCAATTTAGTGAATGATTCATTCATTGAATGTCTAAGTGATGGTCATAAATAGAAATATAGAATACTAGCACTGGAAGGAACTCATCTCTATTTTATAGGCTTGAGAAAACAGCCTAGGTTAAGTTAAATGATTTACTCAAAGTTACCTAATTAGTTATTGGCGGAGCTGGAATCGGAATCTGGTACCCCTGACTCTTAATTATACCACAGAAATTTAAAAGATACTGTTTTATTTATCTAATTACTAATTCACCACAAACTAAATTGGAGTGTGCATTTTTCTTATCAATAATTAAAATGTTAATGTGCATATTGTTATTACCTTTTTTAGGAAGCCAAGTTGGATTATGAATAGTCTTCATTAATATGAATTAATTAAAAGTCTTTAACTTTCATACAAATAATCTATTTTGAAACCAGAACAGTTCTGAATCAATGTGAGAGACAAAACCCTGGGATCTTTTCCTGGGTCTCAGTATTATGTCTTTGGAATGCTTTATTTCAAGCAAGCATTTTTAATGACATAAAGTAAACTATTTCTAAGAGTTCTTTTACTCTTAAAAATTAGAAGAGGGGTGCCTGGGTGGCTCAGTCGTTAAGCGCTTGCCTTCGGCTCAGGTCCTGATCCCTGCATTGGGCTCCCTGCTCTGCGGGAAGCCTGCTTCTCCCTCTCCCACTCCCCCTGCTTGTGTTCCCTCTCTCACTGTGTCTCTCTCTGTCAAATAAATAAAATCTTTAAAAAAAATTAGAAGGAAGAAAAAGTGCCCAAAGAAAGTATTTGGGTCAATTGGTAATTGACTAATTCCACATCACAATTACACTGTGTTTTATGTCTCCATATAGATCCAAGAACAGAACTACCTGACTCCCACATTAAAATCCTCTTGAGAAATTCTCCTGCTGAGCTTGTCTCCCAGCCACGTCTATACATGTGCCTCTGTGGATAGTACATTAATACCACTCACAGTAGAAGGTATTGTTCTTTATAGTTAGTCAAATTAATTATTTGAACACCCCAGGATGTACAACATGAAAGAACAGGTTTATAGATATTCAGGGCACTATATAATATGCCACGGTGAATTATTGACTCTAATGAGAACATCTTTAAAAGACTGAACTCCCAGGGGTGCAGGCTGAAGAATTGGGAGGAGGGGCTCATACGTTAAATCAATAATTAGGAAGAAAGGAGGAAGAGAGACAGATTGGGCAAGAGATTTCTGAAAATTGAACACTTGTCATCTGTCTCTTTCTCTTGCTGTTGATTCATTAAATGGAGATTAACTTCAGTAACTTATTGACCAACATGCCAATAAATCCTGAGCTATATTATCTGCGATGCAGGAAATGGACAAGCCTGGATACATTGCCGAGGGGGTTGACTAAGTGTGATGTGCCTTAGAGAAATTCATGGGCATACTTAAGTATTGTGCTGGTTATGTGTGTTTCACATTTATATACTATACTGAGTATTGTGTTAGGTTGATAGGGGATGTAAAAGTAGCAAATAACATTCTTAAAGGAGTTTATAGTTTATCTGGACACCAACTATGCATATGTGATGTTCACTCGAGAATTTACCCATATTTTTTAAAAGAACACTGTGATGATTTGCAACATGGAATTGTATCCTTCCCATCATCTCTGACTCTATCTCATGCTCACATTTTATCAGTAAACTTTCTTTAGAAACAGATTGTTTTAGCCCTTGGCATACACTCTACCAAAAAAACAAAAAGGTGGTTTAAGTTTTGTGTGACATTGACAAAAATTTTTTAAAAAGTGTAATTAGAGACTGCAGTGGAATTTTCAGAAGTACTCCTAGTCTTCTAGAATCACTAAGTATATTATATTAAATATACATCAAATGTGGAAGAGTAATGTTTTGGACCACCTCTTAAAGAGGTTACGGTCCTAGAACATGAGCAAAACCCACAGTATTCAGCTCCTAAGAGAAATCAACCTACATATATTCTGCACTACTCAGAAAAGTTTCAAAGATAACTATCATTTTGAGGTCTTAGGGAAATAAGAAAGGAGGAATTAGTGAGTACTCCGTTCTTCAGTTTCTATGGCAGTGCCAAGAGGGTTGGGGATGAGTCTACAGATGTTTGGAACTTGCTGGGTTCCCTGCACTGCACTCTCCTCCTTCTGCCCTATGAAGGGGCTCAGCTTAGCTCAGTCTACCCACAGCTTCCTCCGGGGTAGGGAGCATAGAGAGAATTCATTCCCACCAAGGCATCCTCAGATGAGGTCAGCAGAGTGTCAAGGTCTGTCTTGCCCCTGGACCCCTCTATCTATTGCCGAGGCTTCTAGAACTGGAATTCTGTTCCCTTCAGCCCACTCCTTAGTACCTTCATGACTGGGTCTTCTAGCTCAGGCTCTGTGTCCCTGTTGTCTGAACTCTTAGTGTCTCACTGCTAATGCCTATCTGGACCACCCATCTATGTGTTCTGTAACCTGAGATGTTATTGAACGTAAAGTCCAAAGACACACACACACACACACACACAGTTTCCTCATTCTGAGATTTTTTTTTTTTTAAAGATTTTATTTATTTATTTGAGAGAGAGAGACACAGCGAGAGAGGGAACACAAGCAGGGGGAGTGGGAGAGGGAGAAGCAGGCTCCCCGCAGAGCAGGGAGCCCAATGCGGGACTCGATCCCAGGACCCTGGGATCATGACCTGAGCTGAAGGCAGTCGCTTAACCAACTGAGCCACCCAGGCGCCCCTCATTCTGAGATTTTATGAAAGAACAATGGTAACTGTGGCAACTCTTGTTATATCCCTATGGAGTTTTTGAGAGATTGATGTTTTGTATTGTTTCTCATCCTAGGTAACATTGGCCTCAAAAGCCAAAAAGTCTCTGGCAAGAGAAATGTTCTTAGAAGACCCTGAAAATACAATCTCCTTTCATGACAGTTAGCAAAATATCTTCTGTCACTTCTGGGGCTCTCATTCCCCCTCTGTGCAGCATTCATAGTGTTCAAGTATATTAAGCATTCACAACATTTATATATGGCCCAGCCTCTGTTCTAATCCTGTGTATTAGTACAGCTAACTGCAGCTCACTCAGTGCTGCTGTTTGCACAGCTGGACATGTCGGATAGAATGAGTTCATCCCTTCAAAGATGAGCTTACAGCCACCATCTAGTAGTGTCTTTCTTTTTTACACCTACGACCATTCCTCATTGTTCTCACAAGCACAGTGAGTTTTAATGAAGTCATGTCTTTTAGTGTAACGCTGCAGGTGCACAAATGCTGATAAACCTCCTTAACTCACTGTCAGATCAGCATGTTTATCTTCAAGCTGCAGAATGTATTTAATTATAAGATATGAAAAGGTCCTTCAGATTTGTTCTCTGGGCTCAGAACTAATGATTCATCCATGAAGCGCTGTGTCTCCCTAAAGGTTATAATGACTAGTTGCTGATCTTCTGAAGAACTCCTTCATAGTAGCATCTGGACTGCAAGGTATAGAAATTTCTTTTAAAAATAAATAGCTTCTAAAGGCCCAGGAAATTTTACCAAATATAGAGTTAACACAATCAAACATACACACACACACACACTTATATATATAGAGAGAGATGCCAATATGGGTAGATATAACCTGCTTCCAGAACTGTGCTGTAAGGAATTCACTCTTAAAATTTTAAGATGCAAATACCCCTAGGAGGTTATTAACATCTTAATATCAATGAAATTTAATCACATTGCTTTCTTCTTAAGACTAGATTTCTGAGGGAATGGGAGTTTGACCTAGAAATTGGAAGGGAGATGTGTGAGGAGGGATGGGTCCTGAGAAGAGGGGAGAAGATTGTTGGGGAGTGTTGAACTCTCCCCAGTAAATGGGGCTGGAGCCATCCCTTTAGAAGGAGAACACCGTGCATTCAAAGGGCCATGGGATCCTAAGGGAAGAAGAGGCAAACTAAGGATGTAAGATGGAGGCACAAGCATGGGCAAGGATGGCAAGGGCAGAGGGAGGTAAGATTCCAGTCAAAAGATAAATAGGGTTGGTGGAAAGTGAATTCATTGATCGAGAGTTAGATAAATCGTTTGACCTATAAGCATGTTTTCATCTGCCTATGTCACTTCACAGCTATTAGCATAAGATCTTGCCTGATGAATAACTTACTGGAAAGTGTTTGAAAACTATAGAGCAAAAACAAAAACAGATTATAGCATAATGTAAATTATCATAATTATTACTTCCATTGATCAGTTGAGTATTGATTGAACACAGACCATTTGCCAAGTGCTGTACACAATAAAAAGCCCCTTCACTCAAGTTTCTCAGAGCTTAGTGAGGAGACAGGTGAGCAAATAAATAACCACAACAGAGGATGCAAAATACACACAGCACAAAGTGCTACAGGGGTAAGGAAGAAGAAGGACTGCGTCTGCCTGGGGAAATTAAGGCTTTTCAGAGGAAGAGATGGCTGAGCTGGGTCCTGCGTGATGAGGAGTTGACAAGAGGAAACAATGGAAAGTCAGAGGGCAGAGGCAGCCAGCCCCATGTGGTAAGTCTATGCTGCTCAGTGCTGCTTGGCGTAAAGAATAAAAAACACAGGAATGCCAAATCTCATAACTAACTCCCCTGGCCTGATTCCATGCTCACCAAGCTGCCTTCTGATGATAATTTGGCTTCCTGCTTCGATTTACCTGCAGGGAAAGTGCATGCTGGTCAAGAGGCTGAAAGTATCCAGTCCACTAGATGATTATATTTCTCATTGTAAATTAATCAGCATTCTGGCTGATGCATTTTTTTTAAAGTGCAGAAATGAAACTATCACTTATAAAGCAGTTGTAAAGAAAATTAGGTGAAAATTCACCAGGAAATCAGCCTTCAGGCTGCTGATGTAGACAATGACAGAACAGCTGTGCAAACACCACAGGTAACTTCCGGGAATGGGCTCCTGACAAAGCCATATTACACAGCATGTTTTCTTCACACGTCAAGTGCTGTCTTTCACATTTTTCTCTCTTGTAAGAATCCCCTGAAATAGCCAAAAGTAAGCACCAAGTGTCAGTCTTTCCAGACTCCTAGAAACCAAGGTCTAGAGGATAAAATGCACCTCCTTTACCAAATCCTTTACCCTTCCTGTTATGGGCTGAATTGCGTCCCTCCAAAATTTTTATGTTGAAGTCCCAACTCCTGATACCTCAAAATATGTCTGTATTTAGAAATAGGGACTTTAAAGAAGTAATTAAAGCTCAGTAAAGTCATTAGGGTAGCCCCTAATCCAGTATATCTGGTCTCCATGTAAGGAGAGATTAGAACACAGATATGCACAGACCATGTGAAGACAGAGGGAGAAGATGGCCATCTGCACGCCAAGGAGAGAAACCTTAAAGAAACAACCTTCCCCACACCTTGATCTCAGACTTCTAGCCTCCAGGACTTGAATAAATATCTGTTGTTTAAGCCACCCAGTCTGTGGAACTTTGTTATGGTAGCCCTAGCAAACATTAAATACGCTTCCTTTCAGATTCTTCTCCCAACCATTCCAAACAGAAGATTCCTAACTGGGCCCTTCAACAACCTGGAATTTGTCTACGCGAGCATCAGGAATGCATTTTAGTCCTTCATGCTCATTTTCACTCCATTTACTCAAGTGGGTGACTTTGGAGCCCATGCCATAAGCATGGTCCAGTCTTGCTAAAGTAACCAAAGACATAACTTCTGAGGCATGAGGGTCTAGAAGTATAATGGTTATACAAACTGTATCAAGACCTGGACACAAATGAGGTGAAGATCTTATATGCTGAAAGTATAAAAATTTATGATTGTCCTCATTTTGCCATGATATTTTTCTTAATTTCTATTTTTAAAACCAATACCCTGCTAAACAAGTGAGCCACAGAGTTTAGCTAGTTCCTGAAGATATATACCCTAGAACAATTAACTTATTGGAGAAACTCCAAAATCTCTCACATTATTTAATAATTGATTTCTGAATGAATGGAGCCCTTGGTTCTAGACTTTTGGTTTCAAGATCTGCTTGAGGTTTTTTTGCAGATTATGTTAACAAAAACCAGTTTGAGGAACTGGACCCATTTACAACTGGAACTGGGCTCAAATATGTTTCATTCTTCCCCTTGTCCACTTTTTACCACTTCTTTTTTTGTAAGAAGAAAGACCAACACCTTTTTCCTTGTAAAAAATCATCATCGGAGCACTTGGGTGGCTCAGTCAGTTA